GCCAGTGGAGGTGTGAACGAATTATAAGATCTTATTCTGTAAACACATTATAGTAAATCTAGTGGGATTTGATGATCTCAGTCAAATGTCGCAGCGGATTAAACCTCGACGGTTCGAGCATTTGCGTATTGAATACTTTTCAGCCCAAACTAACTTGTGCGGCGACAAAGTTTATCTCCGTGATATGTAAGAATTACTTACTTTAGTTGAAGCTGAGGTCATTTTGCTTATCTCTGTGGTGTCATAGACTGTCTATAGATCATGAATAGGACTCAGGGATTCCTTCAAGTGGAGCAGCTTACGATGCTAACAGTATAGCTAGGTAGCCTGTTGTGGCAGAGCAGGGGAAAAATCTGCTCTTCTAACCGTTTTAGTGGCGATGCCTGAAAAAATCCAGCATTTGAAAAGACCTGTGCTTAGTTCTATGCATAAGTCTTATCTAGGGCTATATTCCATCACCACTGGAAATTGTTCCGTTCTCCCTCCAGTTAAATGAAACGCAAGGTCGCTGCTACCTTCAAGGTCTCCTCGCAATTTCCATGTGGCCTGTGTGCGACCGGTTTATAACGCACTTTATTAAATCGGATCGAATTAAATGTGTTTGGCTTCTTGTACAAACTGTGAAGGTTAATGGAATGGTTCTAAGCCATCTTTATTGCATCGTTTTGTCACTGCCCATTACCGATATAAGGTCTCGTCCTCACTCGGGCCAGTTAATCTCGAACAAGCTTAATTTATCTTAAATGCTTTGTTAAAACAATTTATAGAATTCATGTTATTTTCTTACAAACTAGCCTAATCATTGTTAGTAATAATACTCAAAGGTAAACAATGTAACATACTTAAACTTGTACTTATATATGTTTACATAAAATCAAATAACAGCCTAATAATAACACAACGTGTATGCATTTATATGACATTTAATTTAATCAAAGTTCTCAAGCAACTTCCGGTGTTCAACCAAAGTCACCTGACTTAACAGGTGGCATAGGTTTGACCAGACACAAGTCGAACAGCTTTGTAATTTTTCTCATAGAAGAGAGAATAGAAATATAGAGAATAGCGTGTAATAATGCGTGGACTGATTTGTGGACCTAAATGCGCTGCATGTGGGATTGTGGTGAGCATATGGGGGATTATAATGTTGGTGAGTGTACCTCTTTTCTGCCTTTTCTTTCTTTAAATTATCAGTAATCATATCCTGCTTATCCGTGGTAGACAACAAGGAGCCATGTATATCTATACATACACACACACACACACACAGATACATATACAGTGTATATATATATATATATCACTTTACTTTGTTTCTGAATCACCAGAAAGAGCTTTGGCCTCCTTCAGGAGACACACCCTGAACTTTTTCTACATTAAATTTTAAGTCTAAAGTTACTAGACAGAGCTAAGTAAGAACAATAAAGTAATACAATATAAGTAAATAACCGGATCCGTTACCATTTCACTGTCTGGGCTGAAGATTTTTGCATTTCTGACAGTAATTGAACGCATCGTAGCACGTGAGCACGGAACATTGAGAGAAGAGTCATGTGAATGAGAAGATCAAGGTCACGTGATATATGTCTGAGCTTCGCTAAAATGAGTTATAAATTGGATATTCAACGATCATTCGGCCTAAAACAAATATGAGCAATACTGGTAACTGTAACTCTGCTGTTTTGTCTTTTTTCTCAGTAATCTTGCATTACTTTTAAATAGTCTACGGTATGGCTAAACCATCTCTGTCCTGCTTAAAGAGTGGGAAACAGCCAAGACCTTTGTATAACTATAGTGATTTTGAGTTGAGTTTAGTCACTGGTGTAAATGGGGATGACAGAATCTCACAATACATCAGCCACAGTAGTGAGCATAAAATTGAATTAGTACCTTTCTAAAACAGTTTGAGCTAAAAGAGAATCGTTATTGGATAAGTTAGGAATGGATTAGATTTAACCCAATTAACATGTACAGTGTGTAACAACACTGAAACTCAGTACCATCTTTTACATCTGCGATGTCATCAGTGACTCAGGGCAGCTCAGTAAAAACATCATTACGGAATTTCAACGCAGTGTAACCCAACAAACAAAAAAGGTGTTCTCGGTCTCACAAATACTTACATATAAATGTAGATATTTTTTTCTTTTTGGTGTTACTCCAAGCATTTCGTGTTTCTTTTTCTTTCTAATTTTATTACATAATTTTATTTCAGTTGTTTATTTTACTTGTATTTTTAAATCATATTTATTTTGAAAGTTACTCCTGCGTCTACTTTTATTTCCTGTATAATATTGTATCTGTTACTGTTACATTGTTGTTAAATGTTTCACTTGAAAAATGCTTCTAATATAGTGTAATAAAACTTTACATATAATAATACCTTGGACAAGAATTGAAGAAATTTTAACGGGCCTACAAGCTTTTTTTTTTTTTTTTTTTTTGGATGTAGTATAGATTTTTATAGGTCTGCTTTTATTAATTTATTTTAACCGATTTTGCAATTTTTGAAATGAGGAAAAACACCTGTTTTTTTTATATGTACACCAATCAGCCATAACATTATGACCACTGACAGGTGACGTGAATAACATTACCGTACTGTGTTACATTGGCACCTGTCAGTGTGTGTAGGTTATAGTAGGTTAGTAGGCAGCAAGTGAACATTCAGTCCTTGAAGTTGTTGTGATAGAAGCAGGACAAATGGGCCAAACTGTTCTGGCTACCCGATTGGGTTAGAGCATCTGTCAAACTGCAGATCTTGTTAGGTGTTCCCGATCTGGAGTGGCTAGTACCTACCAAAAGTGGTCTAAGGAAGGACAAACCATGAACCAGTGAAAGGAGATGAATCCCAATTCCTTTATTTTACCTTTCTTCTGTACTCAATACTTGCTCGACCTGGAAGTTGTTCCAGTTTGTCATGATGAAGGACGTCCCAAAGCTCTTATTTCTGCTCTGAGGAGGGAGGACTTGAGGAGCAAGTCATGATATATGAGTGATACATGAGCGCATCTTTTGTGGAAGTCTGATATGCCCCTTCATCATAAATTGGTTTGTGACTGGACGCTTCACATTAAGGATCAGAGGAAGAGATGTCTCTCAGTGGCCTGGACAAGCACTGAAAATCCCCCCAACTGCAGACCATGTCCTGCAACGTCTCTTCTCTTGTCTGCTGTGTAATAATTTCAGTAAAAGTAACTGCTCTTCAACATCTATTAGTTTTAACTCCAGAATGACCTACTCAGTTTCAGTTGCCATTATTAGTAAGTGCTGAAGAAATGCACAATGGCATAGAAACCCCTCCACCAACTACCGTATTTGTGGTGTAGCCGAATAAGTGCTCACAATGGCACAGACTACTTGCATATCTTACAGCATAGGCTCTACGTAGATTTAACAGAGAACCATAAATCAAGCTTAAGATGTAAGGAAAAAAATGCAAGAGGGAAATGTGGCTGCAATTAGGAGAATTGGGATTCATCTAGGGTCATGGACGCACAAGACTCATTGATGAGGTTGACCTACTGTAGATTAAACTTTTAAATTTCATCCATTCTTTTCAAAAGTTTCCATTTTGTTTGAAATGAGAAATACTGTATATTAGTCTTTATGAAAGGGAACATTCAGCAACTATAGTGGTGATATCTGTTGGACTAAATCAGTCCTGCGTGTTCTTTTATGAAGAATGCTCAAAGACAAATCTGTCCTTTCAGATATTTATTACAATATTCAAGAAAAGCAATACAGAGCTCTGGGTTCCGTCTCTATCTGATGCCCTATCCACACACAGAAGTATGGTTCACAGCCTCTTTCAGGAAGCGGAACCGCTCGTCTCCTCTCCACAGAGAATTTATAATACAGTCATGCAAATGATGGTAGATCTGACGTCATCCGTGCTGTCCTTCATCCTCGTTAATTGGTTGGTTTGTTGACCTCGTTCTGACCCGTCATTTGGTGATCTTGTCACCAGGCAGATTTTGATCTGTGAAATTCTAAGAACAACATCCTGACCTTTCCACTCACATCCCTTGTTGCAGACAGGCCAGTCATCTCAGCCTTTATCTGCGCACTTCTAGTTGTTATGAGTCTCTCTGCACCTACTCACACAGCATTTCATGTGCACAGGTCAAGTCTTAACAAAGATCAAACAGATTAAACAATTATTTGAACAGTTTTGCAAATACCTAACATAGCCCTATATCATTTTATCAAGAATTTCTTTCTACATATCACACCTAGAGTGGGGAGGCTGTTGAATAGGTCTAAAAAATTATCTTTAACTTGTCCTCACGACCACAGTTTTCACTCCTTTTACATAAGTTTTTCACTGAATGGTTGACACATTTGTGCTCCTCCTGCCAGTAGAACTATGGAAACACAGATGATGCATGGTGACCCGCGAAGTGACAATAGTGGCGTCCAACTGCCACATTGATTCCTGTGTACACAGTATTAGGCAGGTGGTCATAGTGATCAGTGTATGTGTCAATAGACAGTATGTACTGTGTTCTGTTTTTCTTTTAATTTTTTTAAGAAACTGCCCTTGTATTTTAAAGGCCATTGCCCATAATTAATCCTACAGTGAGTGGTTTCAGTGTTTTTTTAATTGTCTTATATCTGGTGTTGATATAGATACATAGCCTCAAATGTGTTTACTATTTATTCAAAACGTTAATTTAATTAATCTTTGTAAAGTTTGTCACTTCCAATTTAATCTACAGCTGGAGTTAACATAGCAAAACCCCTCAATCCTGCCATGTTGGCTGTGTCCTTCAATAAGAATTCTGTCTTCTCTCTCAGGTCTTGTTGGGGATTTTCTTCGTTATACATTCAGCTGTGCTAATTGAGGATGTGCCTCTACCTGAAGACCTTTACCAAGAGTAAGGATTTTACTGTTACACTCCAGATTTGTTCCTATACAGCTGTACCAAGGCTTGATACCCATCTGATTTTCTGTTGGAGCTATCCTGATATACTGTATAGGCAAAGAATCAGAATCAGCTTTATTGGCCAGGTGTGTTGGACACGAGGAATTTGACTCTGTTACATCGGCTCTCAATGTGCATGTACATATTCTTATGTAAGGCAGCAATGGGCAAGTAAACAGTAAACCAGCATAAGGCTGTGTAGTATAACAAAATAAACAGTATAAACAAAGCAATAAACAGTGCAACAGACAAAGGAATGTTCTTTAGGAAATGAGATAAAAATAAGAATAAGAATAAAAGTAGCGTACTTAAAAACAGAGACATGTACGGATCTATATAATCTATACAATATATTTTTACCGGTATTGCACTGGGGGAAGGTATTGCACTAAGGGTTATTGTCCAGTACTACTGTACATACTGTCATGGGTTAAGTGTTAATCAGAGTGATGGCTTGGGGAAAGAAATTGTCCTTGACACACATTATAGATACCATCTTTCATCAAACTCGATTTGACAGTTCTAGGTGAAAGGTTATCCAATCAGAATTGTTGTCCCGCCCCCAACTCGTGGCGAGTTGAAATTAGTCTCTGGATATTGCGGCTGTTTTTCATTCCACTTTACCTCTACCTACAGCTGCTTTCAGAGCTTATCAAACTGCCATAAAACGCAAAAACAGACACAACGTATATCCCTGTGGTAGTAACACAGGTATGTCTGTGTGAATCTTGTTCGTTTGGAGAAACTGTAACAGTGATAGCGGTGAGGTCAGACTGACTTTACCTGCTGCGTAAAGCCGTTTTCAGATAGGACGCGCTGGGCGCTGCACTCCACTATCAAACCCATCCATTTCTATGTGTTGCTTGGTGCAAGAACATATCTGCACTGCGCTGAGCCCCTGCATGCTGCACCAATGTTAAATAACTTATTTACTTTGTAATGTTTTGAATATTGTTTGTGAAAGTTTGACCATGTTACTGTTCCATTTTGTAAGATGCAAATCTCTAAGTTTTACTTTCCTGCCTGAGTATAGTCTCAGTTCCTTCTTATGTCAACTCTAGAAAAAACGGTCGGAGTGTTTATTTGTCATATGCACAGTTAGGAAACGTGTTTCCCTGTATAATGAAATTCTTACTTTGCCGTCCACATGAATGCCACAAAATACAAATGAAATATAAAGTAGATAAATAAGTAACACAAAATATAAGGCACTTTAAGCAGCAGTATAATAAAAATATATAAGAATATAACAGAGAATGTATGCTACATGGGAGCAGCATGTGCAGCAGTCAACAGTCAATGTGCAATTATACATGTGCAAACTGAGAATGTAAACAGTACAGGTCGACAGTACATGACGTATTTCCTGGTAGTAAACTCCTCAGCTGTTTAGGAGTCTGATGACAGAGGGAAAGAAAGAGTTTTTCAGTCTGGAGGTCCTACACTTCACACTTCTGAACCTCCAGCCAGAGGGTAGGGAGGCGGGACAACGATTTTGATTGGATAACCTTTCACCTAGAACTGTCAAATCGAGTTTGATGAAAGCTGGTATCTATAATGTGTGTTCCTTGTGCCTGGATATCTTGGCGCACAGTGACCTGTAACGCTGTCCAGAGGGGATGAGCTCAAACAGATTGTGTCCAGGGTGTGAGGGGTCTGCAGAAATCTTCTCCGCCCTCCTTTTGACCCGTGAGGTGTACAGGTCCTCTGTGGAGGGCAGGCTTGCACCAGTGATCTTTTCTGCAGTCCTGACTGTCTGCTGGAGTCTGTTCCTGTCCTGTTTGGTAGCTGTGCCTTTTTGTTGATAGCGCTGATGTTGGGCAACCACTTCAGGTCCTGGGAGACAGTGGAGCTGAGGAACTTGTAGGACTTTACTGCTGATACAGTACTGCCAAGTATGGTGAGGGTGGGAGTAAGGTGGGGGCACTATTCCTGAAGTCCACTGTCATTTCCACTGTTTTGAGCGTGTTCAGCTCCAGGTTGTTGCAGCTACACCACAGGACCAGCTGCTCAACCTCCCATCTATAGGCTGACTCGTCACCATCCCGGGTGGTCATAACTACAGATGTCAGGGTGACAGATCTGTAGTCGTTCAGTCCACTGATGGAGGTTTTCTTGGGGACAGGAATGATGGTGGAGCATTTGAAGCAGGAGGGGACTTCACACAGCTCCAGTGACCTATTGAAGATGAGTGTGAAGATGGGGGCCAGCTGATCAGCACACTTTCAGGCAGGAGGGGGTCACGCCATTTGGGCCTGGTACCTTTGTGATCCTTTGTTTTTTAGGTCACAGCTTATATTGGCAATATAAGCTATGAACAACAAGAATGGTTGAGAAAAAACATATTTAGAGAACAAATTATTCATACTGGACACTAATTGATGTGGCCCTGATTTTAATGAGTCTTAATGTTTTTAAAAAGTCCCATTAATCAAATAATAAAAGAGCTCCAAAAATGATTTAGCTGTATAGCATGATAGCATCAGTTAGATGATATGGCATAAAGCTGATGTCATAACCAGGTGTATCTTGCACTACATTCACATCACAGGCCTTAATGCTCAATATTGATCTTGTCAGAGCCATACTTTTTCTGTTCATGGTTCACATTAATGTTTGTAAGTGAGGTGTCCAGCTCTGCTTTGAACACTGTTGCACTCCTAAACTGCCAGTCATGTGCAGATTCAACTGAATGTGAGCCCCATGCACGAAAGAATAACAATAACATCATTTGAGCGACAATCAAATCACACAATTTCCTCACAAACTGCTCAGTTATGATTTACTCTCTCCACCTTGACCATGATCAGAAGCTTCTCCATGAATGTTCAACAAATGTAAAATGTCCTTTTATCCCCAGTGACCCCCATCACTGTTGTTGTTCTCTTTCTGTGTTTATTTATACCGATCTGTGAAACCTGACATTGAATGATGATGGCAGGCAATGTGCGCAGAGGAGGGAGACATTGCGAATTCCAATTTGACCAGTCTGACACAGGTCGCATGGTCAGAGATCGGATATGAATCCGATCTAGGCCAAGATATGCAAGTGGCCCAAATCTGATCTGAAAACATCTGATTTGGTTTGTTCACACATCTTTGAAAATTTGTTTTCTAAAATGTTGACCTATTATATAAAATACACCTAATTTAAAATAAAATTATTGCATAAAAATGTATCTATGGATGCTGTAGCAATTTCGAGTTTATTGAACATATTCTGTTATGACTTTTTTCAAGTTGTAAACTGTGTAAACATGATGGTGTGTGTTCCCACAGTACAAACCCTCCTCAGGCGATCTATGACCTGTACAACCAGGTGGGCTACAATTGCTTCATAGCAGCTGCTGTCTATGTACTGATTGGAGCTTTCTCCTGCTGCCAGATGAGGCTCAACATGCAGAAGGTGATTTCAGTTTTTTAGTTCTGAGTTTAGTCAAACAGTATATATAGATACAATGACAGCTGTTAAACTCGATGAGTAGTGAGAAATTAATGTGACCTTTAGCAGCTTAGTTACATGGCTCTGGGTACAATTAATAGAGACAGTTCCTTTTCTCAACTTTTATTATGGTAACAGATTATACAGTATTTGGATAACTCTCCAACCATTTTCCAGCAAAACAGCATCAATATCAGTATCAAAATTAGAGACATTTTTTTACACAGTAAAAATCCCAAGTTAAAAAATGGCTGCAAGACAGTTTTTTATTTCCCACTTTGCATATACCAGAACAAATATCCAGTAATTTAAATACAGAATATACATCTGATAATTAACTTCCATATATATTTATAGTAACATTTGAAGCTTTAATATATCAATATGGTGATAGTGTTAAATCTGTGTTCTTTGCTCAGTCCCCTTTTTATCACACTTGTGGATTTCGCTACCGTTGTGTGTGCTGCAGGGGTCACCAACACTGAAAGGGGTGTGGATGGTCACTGTTGAATATGACAATAGTTTTGCTACAGTGACAGTTTAACAACTTTTAAATAACATTTTGTGGTGACTGTCAAATTGCATCTCTGTAAGCTAATAACTGAAAAAATATTCGAGATGTTCATGTAAAAGTTTAAGACTGCAAGTCAAATAAAGATTAACTAACTAAAAACAACCAAGGGATGCTCAGTGGCACTAATACACTCTAGGTACACACACAAGGCAGTCTAATTCCTGCCTTAATATCTACTTTGAGAAGCTTATAATCTTCAGTTAATGTTGACATTTGGTCTGTGTTAACTCAAATGTGATCATTATTGAAGAAATATATTTCTGAGGTTGTGCTGGACTAGATTATACTTAAGGTGTTTTAAAACCTTTTTTTACTTTAAAGAGCAAAATATTAGAAACTAGTATTAGATTGTAGAAAATTGCAAACATATCTCAAAATAAATAGAGAAGAAATTGAATTACATCAACTAGTAGATGATGTACAGTAAATATAAGGGGCTGCTTCAAGTAGTTGGAACTACTCCATATCACCCTGATCTGCCAACACTGGAGGGGGGGGACTGTCCTTATAGAGTTCGTGGAGATATTGTCACTCTTTCTAAATCCGGTCTGTGGCTAAGGTTGGCGTTATAGTTAGCCAGTCAATCAGAGTTAGGGTGGGTTTTCCCAGAGTGCAGGTGGGTCCACCTTGGTTAGAGGACTAACAGGTTATGATTCCATTTCAATTTGGAAACAAAAAGATATACCAGTCCTACAGATGAAAATGATAACAGCTTTGAGCCTTGGTCAAAATCTCTGCCATCAGGTTCTCTCCCAGCTGTCGCTGCATAGAATACAGCTTTCCCCAGCTGTGTATATGCTCGAAGTGCTCAGAAGCATAGCTGCACACTTTGGCCACAAGGGGCTCACAGTCAACAACCTTTCCAGCACTCACGATGGTGTACAAATACTCCTGTATCTACAGTAGATTATGATACAGATAATCACCAAAATGGGGTCGCTTGGTGGAACAGTGGTTAGTGCTGTTGCCTCACAGCAAGAACGTTCCGAATTTGAGCCCCAGCTGACCCGGTGCCTTACTGTGTGGAGTTTGCATGTTCTCCCTGTGCCTGTGTGGGTTCTCTCCGGGTGTTACGCCTTCCTCCCTCAGTCCAAAGATATGCATCTTAGGTTGATTGGCAACTCTAAATTGCCTGTAGGTGTGTGTGTGTGTGTGGTTGTCTGTCTCTTAGTGTCATCCCTGTGATAGACTGGCAGCCTGTCCAGGGTGGACCCTGCCTCTTGCCCAATGTCAGGTGGGATAGGCTCCTGCATCCCTGTGACCCTATTCAGGAATTAGATGGATGGATAATCACCAAATTCTAATCAATTGTTCCATGGGCCATACCCTACCTCTGCAAAAAATTCATTCATTCATTGCTTTTTGATCTTTACTGTCAACAAACAAACACTGGCAAAGCATAAACCCCACCCTTGGCTGAGGTAATAAAAATACAGTTGATTTAGCTTTCATTTCAAATTTTATTAAAAATAATTCAACTGAACTGCCACTTTAAATATCAAATTGCCAATAGCAAAATGAAATTACATTTGAATAAAGATGCCAAAGTGCCATATGTTACAGTTTTCAGTGTGTACTCATATGCATGTTATTTATGTGTTGTTCTTCAGGAGTACCTGGTGCACTAGTGCCACCTGCTGGCCTAACAAACTCACAGCAGCACCTTGACAGCAGGACAATCTATTCAGAGCATCAGCTGCTGACTGGTTTTTGACTTTTGTCTTTGGGGTTAAAATTCCTAATCAGAGGTCCAGTGTGGGAACTAAATGATGTGTGAGCACATAACAGTGTGGTGCTATGTATTTATTAATGACAATCAGTAATGTGTATTCAGTAAGTGCTTCAATTATTTTATTTTGGTAGTAAAAACTACCCAAAGGTTTTCAGTAGATGTGTAGTTATCCTGGGTATGGATGATTATTTTTTGTTAAAAATTTAAAGATTGTAAAATTATTTGCTTGCTCTTTCAAATCCATTGTACTGTATAAAGAATATATTTTGGATTATGGTCAACGTCCAACTGACAGGGGCGGCTGTGGCTCAGGAGGTAGAGCAGTCGTCCCCCAACTGGAAGGTCGGTGGTTCTGTTCCCGTTCTCTTCAGTCCACGTGTCAAAGTGTCCTCAGGCATGACGCTGAACCTCAGCTTGCTCCTGATGGCCAGGTCAGCACCTTTGCAGGGACAGTGCCGCCATCGGTGTGTGTGTGAGTTGGCGCTGCAGATGGCTGCCTCGGTTCTGTATTGGAGACAAATTCCTTGTGTGTAACATACTTGGCCAATAAAGGTGATTATTATTATTATTATTATTATTCCACTGGACCAAGTTATTTCTTTGTTTATTTATCAGAATGTCCACCAAACACAGTCCAACTTTACTGCAACTGTTGACACTGATCACAGTCATTCTATCCAATGTGTCAGCTATGTCATTGGCATTTTACACTCAGCTCAAGTGCTACTCTTTTGTCTGCTCCTGTACTGTATCCAGTTCACTGAAACCACATTCTCATTCATTTTGAATCTTTAGAGTTCTTTAAGTTTGCTGCTGTATGTGTTTCAAACATAAAAAAAAAAAAAATAGAATAATTTAGTTATTTAACAAAAGCCTATATTTTCCACTTATTCAAAGCTGGCTTAAATAATGATCTGGAGTCAAACCCTCATATTTTAAACCTTGAGAATGAATGTCACTTTCAGCTTTTTCTCGTTAGGAGTCATCGCACTGATGATTCACATGTTGACATTTGGCACGTGTTTTACGCTGGATGCCCTTTCTGATGCAACCCTGATTTAAACACAGGCTGCAGCAGCAGAAGCACTGTGCCCTAACCACTAGGCTATCAGGGAACAGTTTTAAACCCATTATTGTGGTTTGTTGTCAAACCTTTATATTTTAAATCTTGAGAAATGTACCTTATTAGCAGTTAACAGGATCATGACTTTTCCCTATACATAAAAATATTAGCAATATAACACAGGGTGTGAATTAAAAAAAAAAAACTCCATTTGACAATAGAATTTCAACTCGAGCAGCTCAAAAGCTCTTTCCTCTTTGTCAACAGATGGAAATGCTCAGTTGTCATTACTTAGCCCATGTGCTTATCTCAAATGATTGTATCTAGTCAAATGATACAGTAAGAGATGGTTGTTATAAGAGGCAATGGTCTCTGGTGTGAGATGCAAATGTCTTTTGTGGTCAGTGTTCTGGTATCCAGAGATACAAGCGAGCAGTATGCATATTGGCAGTTACATGTCAGCAATATGCATCGGGGAAACGTTAGTAGTGGACATTCAGGGAGCCTGAGACTTAGTTTCACTCCAGTTTTAATTTGGAATGAGCATTTTTTGCAGGTTTAAATGAATGAACCACTGTGCTACAGCAGCAATTATCGTATGTGTGCTCTTGTGGTGATTTAGTACCAGACATATACAGTAGGTTTAGTATTCAGGCCAAATAGTCTTAGCAGTACTGACCCCTTTATTGCTTAAGTGAGACATGGCACAGAGAATCTCCTACCAAGTGTAACTGGGTCTCTTTCC